TCTCTCAAAACTAAGTATGATGTTAGCTCTACTCACAATTGTTTTTGCATAATCAGTGCAAATGTCAACAAAGTAAAAAAGGCAAATGTCTTTTTTTTATTATTATGAGCATACTTTTTACCCATAGATTGTCTAACAAGTGTCTTGGGGATCCACATGGGTCCACAGACCTCTTTTTGAGAACCCCTGAATTAAAACATTGGAATGTAATGTAAAATCTTTCTCTTTATCCTACATCTAGCCATGGTCCTAAGAGATTTCAAGATACATATACGTGATCCATCTTACACTACATTCCTTCTAGTACAACAGCTCTACATTACCTACACTAAATCTATGTCCCTCACTCTAACAGATACTGCCTGGATATTGTCATTGTTTTAGCTGCAATATCCCTAAAATCTTAATCTACTGCCTATTTTCAGAACACTTTTATTCTTCCAGGCTCCTTACTTTCTCATTTGCACAATGTCTGATTTTCAACCTCACACTCATAGCAACATCCAGAGTTTTGGTTATTCTATTTCTCTGAGACCACCAGCATCACCCTTTCAACATGGAATCCCACTGTTGATAGCTTCAACAATTCTTTATAGCAGCCTTGTTCTCCTGCAGTACCCCTAATGATATTATAATGTGAAAAAAAAAAAACCTATACAAATCAGAAAAATAGCAATCAGGAATGGAGTAAGATGTGTTCAAGTGAGTAAAGATCTTGGAAGAAATTAAAGAAGGGCTTATACAGTGAACAAAGGATGAAACCACTTGGTGAGTATATGTTATCTTGAAATTCTCTAGTACTACAAGCCTGTGACATATCCACTACCTGGGATGTTTCCATGTATATAAAGAGTTAAATATATTTTGTCACCACATTGTTTCACCTCTTCCATATGAATTTTAAATCAATTTTGTCACCACATTGTTTCACCTCTTCCATATGAATTTTAAATCAATTTTGTCACCACATTGTTTCACCTCTTCTATTTGCTGTAATATCTGAATGGAAACAACCCCAAGAGAAAACAAGCTATTTGAGTCAACATATTTGAGTTATCATATCCCAAGAAGCTTAAGGAAATGACGTAAATATAACCAAGAGGTTGGGGTATGAAAAGATTGACTGAAAAAAATCAGCTTCTGACATCTAGAAAAAGAAATGTCGAAAGTGATAAAGATTTGAAAACAGAAAATAGACTGGTTTATCAATTACTGGTGTCTAAGAACAAGAACTTAGACTTTTAAAACAGTAAATTCAGGACAAATAAAAGTAAAGTAATATTTTGGCACATCAGGTGCTACATAAATGGAATCCATTATGGCAAACAACAGTATACACTATAAATAGTTGCAAAGGGTTTTAGTCAAATTCATAGCTGACAAATTGATATTGGGTTGTGGCAGAAAATCAGGATATATTAAAAAGTACATTCTAGTGTTTGAGAACTTAACATCAAGGAAAGCAGTTGCTCAGTGGAATATTTTGAAGGGCAAGTTTAGAGCCTGAATATTGGACTAGACCAAAGAGATGACCAAATATGCCAATATGTGTGCTTCTAATTGGAAAAAGGAAAACAAACTACAACAACAAAGCACTGGTCATTCCCACTTAAAAAGCTAGTCATTTTGAGAACTGGTTAATAACCACTTGTAGTGATGGTTGTGTTGGGGATATTGTCATTGTTTCCAAATAAGTTATACCTGTGGATAAGTCTGTATAGGAATACTTTGGTGTTAATGGCACAATTTATTGATTTCCTATGGTACGGCTTATGCAAAAATGGAATAACCCAGTAGCGCACAAGTATTAGATACCAAAACCTCTCTTTAACCTTCTCTCTTTGGGCTATATGATCTTCTTTAACCTTTCCTGATTGGGACTATTTTTCATCTGTTAGATACTGTCTGTCATTACTATTGCATATGCCCTAATATTCAATAAGCACATATTTCACAGTGGCAGTACTACATTACTGACTCTTATTCACCTTACTAAGAGCCCCAGGTCTAGTTCTGGCCACTCATTCTGGCCATTCCCATCTTTTATCAGATTAGTGATAGTCTGAGCCTAATACTTGCTTTGTACTTGCCCTTTTCTGAACTTGTGTTGACAGGCCATTTCTTATTTGTCAAAGTCCCTTTGAATTAATTTCCTCTTTTTTCCTGCCTAACTGGGTTATTGGAAAATCTAATAAGGATGCTTTCTCTTCCATCATTCAGAGCATTGATAAACATTACTGGAATCAACCTGATCCCAAAGGAACATCCTGCCTTATCTTCCTTTCTTCTGTTTCTCATGTGAGTGCAGAATTTTTTCCTGTGAGAAATAATCATTGATGGGCAGTTCAGCCTGACAATGGTTTATAGTATAAATGCAATCAGTCTAATTCCCCTTCCTTATTGCTGATGTTCCCCAGTCCTTGATTAGTGTGGAAGCCATTAGGTTATGAATGCTGTCCAAATAATATTGTCCATTCCCCATGTAAACATAGAGGCTTAGAACTTCTTGAGGAGCCAAGGTCATCATTAAGACATGTAATATGATATAGAGTTGACCAGATGGTTGTTCCTACTTGATAACTATGCAGCCTGAAGATATTAGGATGCATCATGTTCATTTTACAGATGGGAGCTTGGAAGCTAGTCAAGTCATACTCCATTGGACATGCAACCCATCATGGTGAAGCTGGGGTCTGAAAGAAGTACCACATCTAAAATTTGTCATTTTGCCTTTAGATTACACTAAATTTCCTAATAAATTAAAGGAGCACTTGTTTTAACTCTGTTTTTTTGAGGGTCACCGTGGCCATATATAACAATTTGTGGGAAGAGTTATGTGAAAGATCTGTTTAAGGCTGGGTGTGGCATGATAAGGCAGAAGTTTAAATGTTCATAAATGTAATAAAATTAAGGTGTATATATCCACAATTCCTATTCAATTCAAAACGCTTTGAATGTGTATCTGTTTGCCTTGTAGTTGACATTCAGAATGGAGAGGTTCTGAATAACTTCTGAGTAGCAAAATTTCTTTTTTTTTAAACAAAGTTTCTTGATACAGCAAAGAAGCTGATATTTAAACATGAACCTGTGAACGTTTTTGAGTTTCCAGGCAAGGAGAACATCTTCAGAATTTATTCTTCTATGATACTATTATATTAGAACCTTCGAAAGCTATACCACACATATTGGATAGCAGCAATATCAATTTAGCTGTCATATATTCTACGTATCACTTTTTTTTAATTCTCTGTAATCATTATGCTTCCAGACAAACAGTTGGAGAACTGACCAGCATCTCATACAAAGTCAGCACGGTGTACTAGTTTGCTGTCCAGTTACATAGAGCAGTGGAATATCTCTTCTGAAGGAATCATATTTATCTATTTCTAAGCATGGTGGTAAAGGAGCTTCTAAATGGCAACTCTCAAACTGGGCGTCTAATTTAAAAATGGTGACAAGGGGCACCTGGGTGGCTCAGTCGTTAAGCGTCTGCCTTTGGCTGGGGTCATGATCCCAGGGTCTTGGGTTCGAGCCCCGCATCAGGCTCCCTGCTCTGCGGGAAGCCTGCTTCTCCCTCTCCCACTCCCCCTGCTTGTGTTCCCTCTATTGCCGTGTCTTTCTCTGTCAAATAAATAAAATCTTAAAAAAAAAAAAAATGGTGACAAGATGGCTGACCGCTAATTTTCTAAATTCTCAAATCATTTAAGTTGAACATTATTTTCCAACTATTTGTTATATCCAGAATTATTTTGAAAGCTAAGTGTTACAGAGTTCGCATGCTATAAATTAATAGAAAAATATGAAGAGATAATGAATATAATTTAGACTATTGAAAATCTTCAGGTCTATTTATTTAACAAACACATAGGTAAGTGCTTACAATGTGCCAGGCATTGTTCTAAGTGTCTTACAAAGCAACCTTATGGTTGATGCATTGTTATTATCATTCTCATTTTATAGATGAAGAAGTTGAAGGACTAAGAGATTAAATAACTTGTCCAAGGTCATATTACTAATAAATACCAGAATTGGGATTGTCTCCAAATTCTGTGCTTTTAAGCACTATTCAGTTCTATCGAATAAGAGTAGAAGGTTTATAGCAATTGATAAATCTCTCATTTATAACATTACAATTGCTAAAAGTTTATATTAGGCAAAACATGATTTTGACACCATAAACAGCAGTACACCCACAACTTTATACTCATATTTTGGTTTTATAAAAGATACAATTTTCATAAAATTTTATGATGAACAGCTTTAAATCTGGAAGAAAAAAAATTCAAATTAGAATGGTAGGATTTTTCCCATCAAGAAAATCATTTAGAATGTCAGAAGACAAATGGGGAAACCAAAACAATCACCTTTCAAAAAGCAGTGTTATCACAAGAGACGGTAACAAATCTTAAGTCTCTTCAACTCTGGAACACCGAGTACTGCGCTTGTGCACACAGAGGGTCAGTAAATATTTGTGATAAATGGAGATTTCTGCCAGCGATCTTCCCTTCTTAGGAGACTCTAACATTTTTATCCCTAGAGGTAAATGTTCAGTTAAATTATTTTCCTCAATCAGAAAAGCTCACATATTTGGGAACCCAGAGTCCCTTATAGAATTTTTCTTGATAAAATGACTAAGCTGGCTGAAGGCAAAATTTCTTGTCCTTGGTCTTCCCTTCCCACTTCTTTTCCAAAGCTTCTACCAAAACTCATCTCGGGAAATAGGTGGATAAATCCATTCATGCTGAGATGTAAATAACTCAGAGAACTCCGGGCATTACACTACCCTGGGTGTATGTGGATCATAACAACAAATGTAAGCATTAGCCAGTGGGCTGGGGCGGTAACTGAGAGTAAATGTTTTCAGCTCCCTCCAAATCATTTCATCTTTGCAGTCTTTTAATAAGACAAACTTTGCTCCTCTGCATTTTCCTTATGGCTCCTGTGGAGACGGGGTAGAGTGGAGAGCTCAACTAGTGGAGAATGCAACAAACCCACTCCTAATGGGAGGTAGACAAAAAGGCCACATCATTCTCAGCACTCCATTCCTTATGAAACTAAATGATGGTTGACAATGAAATTCAAGCTTCTGATTCTTATTAAGGCTGACTATTGAAACTTGATTAGGCCTATAATTACACACTCCTTGAATCAAGAATGTCAAATAATGGGGCAGGACCTCTATAGCTGAGGAATCAACTTACAACCCAGGTTGGTCCATGAACAACCTGCTCAGACAGTACTCAGTCATAAATTGTCCCAAGTTTAACCTGGTAAGAATTGTTGGGAGGATATCTTCTGTCAAGTATCCAAAACTAAATTCTTTATTTCTAAGATCTTAGCTGATCCTGAGGAAAGAGAGAGAAAGAGAAAGAGAGTCAGGTGGAATAAAGATGGCCAAAATGGACTACAATTTTGTGGCTAACAAGTAAAACCAAACAAAATGATTAGATTTTATCGAAATTTATTATGTTAAGTATAACAACTCTAACCAGTTTAATGCAACTGTTAAAATTTAATTGTTCTGTTATTGTTATATAAAAACCTAAGCAGAATGTGCTTTTTATCCTTTGTTTTGAAAGGAAATGAAATTTCAATGTACTATCTGCATTGTATTGGAATTTTTAAAATAATTATTTAATTATTTTAAATAATTATTTAAATACATAGATTAAAAATATCTTATTCTGTATTTTGTAGAGGTTGATTAAAACCTAATGGGAAATGTGAAACAGCATATGCTTATAACATGATATACAATGTATGTAAAAATCTGTACTTGTGCTATGAGAAGTTTTCCTAATTCTTAGTTTTACGAATTTCACAGTGGTTATCAGTTACATACACCCTATTTAGCTACACTAGAATAGCTACCGTTATAAACTAATAGCAAGTTTGGATGAAGAGATTATAGTCCATGTCAGACGGTAGCTTGAAACTGGCCAATGTACACATTCAAGAGATGGAAGGCATTCGCATTAAAAAGCAGCAAGTCTAGGCAAAAGCATTGTAATCTTGATTTTTTTCACCTTCCCTATGAATTCTATAACCCATGCTTACCTCACTCCTTGGTTCCACATCAGCCCAGTTGGGTTTGACTTTACTTCTTCCTAACCAACTCCATTAAGTTGGGGTTTCTGGTAGTCGTGGTCCTCACTTGACTCCCTCTCTTGCCATGTCTTTCTCTGTCAAATAAATAAATAAAATCTTTAAAAAAAAATGGTGACAAGATGGCTGACTGCTAATTTTCTAAATTCTCAAATCATTTAAGTTGAACATTATTTTCCAACTATTTGTTATATCCAGAATTATTTTGAAAGCTAAGTGTTACAGAGTTCGCATGCTATAAATTAATAGAAAAAATATGAAGAGATAATGAATATAATTTAGACTATTGAAAATCTTCTAAACCCAGTCGTGGTCCCAGTCATGGTCCTCACTTGACTCCTCCTTCAGCTTAATCTTATACTGCAGACCAACCTACCTCTGCAGTTTCCAGCAGCTGACTTGTCTTTCTGGGATAATCAACTTTCTTTCTTTTTTTTTTTTTTTCCTTTTTAAGAAAATTTAGGAACTTGATAGTTTAGACACTAACTAAAGCCAACATTTCTTTTTAATGCATGAGCTTCTCTGAATATCTATAACATTCTTTTATCATACAATTTACAATCCTTCCAGTTTCAAGGTTCTGCTAGATCAGATGTTAAATCATGCTATCTGCATTTTTTCAGCTTTTAATGCTCAAAACATCTACAAGTAAAATGATTGTTTTTGACATTATTTGACTTTCTTGATTCAAGTAGAGTGTAATTATACCCCTGATCAAGTTACTGTAGACAGCTTGAATCCAAAGAGAGATACCACATATGGAAGCGTTATGTTTAATCACAAACAGATACAACTGGATTTTTCTTACCACACATCATATGCTTAAGGTGATATGTACTTTTTACAATAAGTATGATAAAAAACACACTTAAATGTATGCTAATATAGATATTATTTCAATTTAATTTTAAATTAAAAAGTGAGTGTAAATTTAAAAACACGACTCCCAAATTTATAGTGTAGTTTTATGAAGACTTTTAAATTGAAAAGTTGTATTGTAATAATAGTCTATGTGTTTGGTTACTTCTAAAACTCAAGCTGGTTACTAGTAAAACTCAAGGTGATCATTTTGACCTGGACCACAAGGGTAAAATATCTGATCAACTCAGTCTAAAATAACCTCAGAAAACAACAGAAACAAACAAACAAACAAAAACCTATTAACTCATGTAGACTCAACTTGTATGATAATCTTTTTCATTCTTTTTACATTGTAAGTACTATAATTACTACAAAGTATTTATCTCACAAAGTCAAATTTCAGAGAAAGAGAAGCTATAAATTCTCATATATATTATTTATTTATATACCTATCTATCATAAACTATCTTCTGAGATTATTTTTACTCTGTCAACAATCACTAAAATGGAGGTCAGTTTCTAAAAATAAAATAAAATTAGTATTAAATTATGACTGGAAGAGACCAAATTGAATTACCATTATGCTAAAGATTTGTGGGTATAAGTAAGTAAAGACTATATTCCTCCAACCTTGCCTGAAATATGAAACAATTATGAGTTATTTAAGTGTTTTATCAATAGGATAACAAAGTTTTACTATTTTGAAATTCTTAATATATAAGGTACTATAGTTACCTCTAAAACGTAGTTACTGAGTAGCTATTAAATATAAATGCTGTAAAAACATTGGGCATTTAAATGGATGGTACAAAAAAATTAGTATGTTGTACAAAAGCGACCTTTTAAAGGTATGGTATAGAAAAAAATGGCTTTCAAAATAGAAAGCTTGTAACATCCAAATCTATTTTCTAAAAACTTAGCCTAGTAAGTGAAAAACAAATAGAATAATAGGAAATTTATATTGGTGTCAGCAATGCAAGTGGAAAAGCCCATTATATTTTTGGCTAAAATTTTATGACCGCTGAGTAATAAGATATGGTTTTTTTCCTTAAAGATACTTCTAAAATGATAAGTTTGCATACTTATTTTCTAAGGTTCAGCCATTGATCACCTACATCCCTGTTAAAGGTTGATTTTTGCCACCACCGCTGCCCCTGCCAAAGGCCTAACCCCAGATACCTGTGAATGTGATCCTATTTGCAAATAGGGTCTTTTTAAATGTAATCCAGTTAAAGTGAGGTCATCAGAGGGAGCTCTAATATAATATGACAGGTGTCTTTATGAGAAGAGGAAAATGCCGTATGTGGAGACAGACAAAAGGGGAAAGAGCCTTGTGATAACAGAGGCAGAAGTTGTATGTAGCTGCAAGACAAGGAATGCCAAGTCTTGAAAGACCACCAGAAGCTGTAAAGAGTCAAAGAAGGGTTCTACCCAGTCTCAGAGGGATCATGGCTTAGCTGGTGCCTTGTTTTCGGACTTCTAGCCTCCAGATTGAGAGAGAATAATTGTCCGTTGTTTAAAGCCACCCAGTTTGTGGTGCTTTGTTATTGCTGCCTTGGGAAACTAATAGTCCCTAAGCAGCATTCTTCATATTACCTTGGTTGTAAAGGAGAATGTGCACTGTATTAAGGAAAGCTTGATATGACAGTATCTTATCAGCCACTCTGCACTCATGGGTGACAGCTTTCAATTCCAGTGTTTGACTGAAGACAGCCTGAGGTTTCGATGTTGTAAGACATGGCATTTTAAAGATATAAAACCAGCATCAGCTTAGAGTATGACACCCTATTTTTAATTTAATTTATGGAAATGCATTTTCTTCCTAAAAGGCTTATTATTATTAAGAATTCACACAGAGAAAGTTCATTTCGGAAATTTAGAAATGGTTGATCTTCAGTGGAAGAAACACTTGATAGTAGTTAGGGCATCTGCTTTCCTCTTTTCTGATTTTTGACCAGTTCTCATTTAACACGAGAAAGAGAAAAACAACCTCCTTGATCTTGTAAGCATGTTTTTATTTTAATGAAGTTTTAAAAGGAATTGTTTTTCAACTTGAGTTAAACGCTGTCCTTATTACATGTTTATTTATCTTGAAAAGTGAAGAAAGCACAATCAACTGTAGAAGTGGAGTTTTTGTGATTTTTAGCTGTGCCTTGATTTGGTTTAAGAGGTGATCAAAATCAGTTAGGCAAAATGCAGAGCTTTTTAGGTGTTTGGACAGTGTCTTATAGGGAAGTCAATACTACCAGCTAGAAGAGTGATGTGACCAAGAGGGCAGTATAGGTCATTCCTGACTTCACTCCCGCTCATAAGAAGAACAACATCTGTTCAAGAACAAAACACCACTGAGACAATCATAGAATATGGGGGTGAGGCTGAAGTACTCCCTGCACTGCAGAGACCAAAACACACTGCATTAGAAGGGTAAGAGAAGGGGCTACATGTTGACTGCATTGCTCCACCCCCAGGACAACACTGCACCACATGGAGAGGTGAGCCCTGAGCCTCAAGTTCCTCCAGGGGGAAAAGAGAGCCCAGGAGGGTAACCAGCCTCCACCACCATTGCAAATTGCTTTGTGAAAGCCCCTCTTCTGATCTTGCACCACAGGGATTGCAGGGGAATCTGGGGCCCAGTCACTGGGAATCTGATTGTGACAGAGAACTGGGGGTGGAGGGTGCGGAGGGAACTTGCAACCACCAGCACACAGATCTTGGCCGACTGAGTTCTTACCTGCAATGCTCAAGTAGTAATCCCAACCAGTGGTTTTGCACATCTGCAGAACCAAGTCAGGGTTGCATTCTGCTCAGGGAACTCAGTGGGTGCAGATCTGTCTGATATGGCTTCTCAAATGAAGAGTTTTGCTAGCTTTAAAGCCCAGTTTGCCTAAGCCCAGGCAAAGTGCTGACTCACAACCCCACCAGGCACTTTAACCAAGAAGTGGGTAGGCAGAGCTGATCATACTGAAAGCAAAGCCAGTATCACGTGTGGAAGTTTTTCTTACTACACACAGGCGGGGGTGGGGGTGGGGCACTAATTCATAACCAAGGCAAAGAGTAGCTCCTGGCCACTCCCAACCAAAGAACCTATTTGGGAAATTGAGAGTAGTCTGGAGCAGCCCCTTCCTGTCCTATTCAGCCAAGGGGGTTGAGATATAACCCTGCTGTGGAAAGTGTCTTTTGGCCCCATTTGACCAAAAGGGCTGATGAGAATACCTGAAAGCTGTAGAACCCAGTGGTGCTCAAGCCAAGAGAAGGACAGAACTGACAGTTTGCAGAACAAAGTCGGTGGCCCTGTTTGGATGGAGAATTTGGGGTGTAGATTGGCCTGAATTAAGACAACAAAGAGCTATAGGGGTGCCTGGGTAGCTCAGTTGGTTAAGCAGCCAACTCTGGATTTCAGCTCAGGTCATGACCTCAGGGTCCCGCATCAGGCTCCATGCTGGGTGGGGAGTCGGCTTGAGAGATTCTCTCTCTCCCTCTGCCCCTCCTTCTGCTCGCACTGTCTCTTTCTCTCTCTCAAATAAATAAATAAATACAACAGCAACAACAAAAAAGACAACAATGAGCTTTACTGGTTCTAGAGCTGCTTCCACTCAGTTTGCAGAAGGAATCTAATTGGTAGCCCTGCTTATCAAGGAATGCAGCCTTCAGCCTTTCCAACCAGGAATCTAACCAGAGCACACAAGAAGTTTCATAGCTGATCAACAGCCCTACATACAGTAGCACTTGAACAGAGTACAACCTATGGCTTTCTCCATCTGCAGAACAAACTGGTGGACTCACCTGACCAGAGAATTCAGTGCACGTGTAGGCCTGAATCAGGCCCCCAAACAATGAGCTGTACAGGCCTTGGTTTCCAGCCTGCTGCCCTGCCAGTGCAGGGAACTTTATTCATAGCCCCATTTATTACTGAATATAGTACCCAGTCCTGACTACCTAGCAAGCCCGACCAGAGAATCCAGGCAACCATGGAACCCATCCTACATCCTCACTTGGGTAGGGAACCAAGCCAACAGTCCTATCCAACTCTTCTCAGCCCCATCTCCATTCTCAGAACTTGAACAGTTGCTTTGCCTCAAAATAGACAATAATAGCAGGACCCACCTGCTCAAAGACATTGCCAACAGACATGCCCAGAAACCCAAACGAGGCTGACTGGTGAAGAGCTATCTGACAAAGCAAACCTGAAAGTCTAGAAGAGTAACCCCATTACTCA